TATTCAAGTAAGAACAGTTGGAATCTATTGGTGTTATGATAGACTTATAAAATGACTTTGGACAATTCCAGATATTTACATGACTCTCTGACTATAACTGTGGCATGAGCCTCTATGTGTCTGAATTTATTTCATACTCCTCATAAGGAGATTAATCTTCCTTACTAATATAAATATTTCATAGTTTATAAATGCTGTATAATTGTTTATCATGTTTATCATGTTGAATAAAACATCGCCCTCCGTTTCCATTTCTAGGTGTAATTTTTAGTATAAAGAGAACAAAGCTTTTCACTTTAAATGATTATTGATCCAGGAATCTTACAAAAACTGATTTCTTCTTACGAATTTGTATTTGTGTCTCCGTGGTTTTTTGAGTGTGCTAATGATTTAATAAAATCATTAGCCAAAAAGGGAGAGTGTCATCCATCATAATATTCTAGCACTGAGCACTAGGTTTCAGATCTTTCATAAATGCCGTAAGAGTGGGTGAGCAGCAGATTTGATAGTGGATCAGAGGTCATTCACCCGGAGCACCGGGGCTCTGCTCCTGTTTGAATGAGAAAGCCCACCATAGGCTCATATGTCAGTTGGTCTACAGCTGACGGTACTGTTTGAGAAAGTTAGGAAACCTTTAGAGATGCAGCCTTGCTGAAGAAGTTCATCTCTAGGGTTGGGATTTGGGGGTTTATATGCTTGCACCACTTCCTGCTTGCTCTCTCTGCTTCCTGTCTACTGTTCATATGTGATCAGTCAACTTTGCACTCCGATCACCTACTACCACGCATGCCCTGCCATAACAGACTCTAGCCTTCTGGAGCTGTAAGCCAAAACAATCTCTTCCATAAGGTGTTTTTGACCAGAGTGTTTTATCACTAAAACAAAACATAACTAATACAGATCTTAAAATCATGGCATCTCTCAAGAACAGTGAATCCTGCTCTCCTGCAAAACACCAGCCATTGCTTTGGTCACAACCCATCATTTCCAAACATAGTAAGGGGAGATGAACACATGTAATGGCTAAAGAGAACATGGTCTTGAGTAGCTAAGGATCGACCTAAGTGAACTATGCTGAGTGTTCTTTGACTTCTTGTCATCTGAACTAAAGGCAAAACCACTCAGGAAGGGTTTCTATCCTGACCAAGAAGGAAGCAAAAAACTGCCAGTGATTTGAATGAATCTGGTGACTAACCCTTTCACTGGATTTGAAGAAGCAGCCACATGGTTTGTTAGCAGAATCATTTCAGTGATAGGGTCCAGAAGCACAGACCAATACAAAGGGAAAACAACCACCACCAACAACAACAACACAATATCAGTGCAGGAAAAGGGGACAGTACAGGTGGCAGTCTTGGTTCATACTTACCTCTCTCTTGGTAAGACCTCACAAATCCTGCAGAATTGAACTAAGATCATGCGCCTACTTATCAAACACCTCTGAGACAGTCATTTTAGGAAGGGCCAAGCACTGGGCCTATGATCTCAACCACAACCTTTCACCTATGGTAGCTATCAGATTGGGAGGCATAATTCATCTCTGATGGAATTTACCATTGTCTGCTGCATACATGAACATCCAACTCAAGAAGTTATCAACCTGAATCATAAGTAATAAATAGGCCCCAAATGCTAGGGGCTTATAGCTGATGTCATAGAATATTACTTATTCCTAGAAAAGGTTTCTCATAATAAATAAATAAATAAATAAATAAATAAATAAATAAATAAATAAATAAATAAATGCCACAGTAGCTCCCTCTTCTTTTCACAGAGTAAAAACACATACACACACATTTATGAATGTGAGTGAAGAGGTAACCACTTTGAGAAACACCTTTGTTTTCAAGAACAGAGAGTATGATCGCCAGGTTGGAGGGCATGAAAGTGTCCCCCATAAATCACCATCAGGGACACCCTGTACCAGGACAGCAGGGAGGAAAGAGCTTGTCCAAGCTGGAGAAATGAATCCAAACTCTGGCACAGACTACAAAGGAGGTTACCCCAAAGCTGACCAAACTGTTCTTCCAGGGAAGGCAAAATGTTTCTACGAGCGTCTCAAGGGAAATCCCTGGAGGGCCAGAGAGACTATCAGCTCGGTAATTGGCTAGCTAATCTGAAGCGCTACAACCGAGCCAAAAACTCAGAGCCAAATGAGGAGGAGCAGCTTCCAGGCACAACCCTGGCTGCCGGGGTGGTCTGCTGCTTTGAAGCATCTCTTCACGTTTTTAGTTGATGAGAGGTTTATAAAGAAAATGTATCACACTGAGTAAATCCAGTTTTTCAAACACACACGTTCTGGAGGTGTGGCTCAAACCTTTAATTTGCTTTGTTCAGCAGCTGGTGCCCGTATGTGCCTGCGCCCTTCGCTCACGAGGCTAGTCTGAAATGTTCTTACCCTTTCTCTCTAAGGATCTGTATCCTTCTCATCCACTCTGAGTCCAGTAGACTTTTACAGCCTCTTCCTGGGGCCTAGCCACGCTTTAATTCTTTTGATGACAATGGGAGACTCTGAAGACACTGAGACTGTCTTCTCAAAGACTTTCCTATGACGCTAATTCCTAATCAAGGATAACACTAGAAATAATGCAGTTGCTATCCACCTTGCCCCCCAGCCTGGCAGTGAGAAGATCCAGTCATCTAAATGGTACTAGAGTCGACATTCATCATCCAGTAACTATCAAATACAAAAGTGAGGCTTTTCCCTCACAGCCTAGAACAGGGCCTAAGGAGAATCAAAAAGATAGGTATGTCTTGCAAACAGAATGGGGCTCGTTACCCCTCATTACAATATGGCAGGATTGTAACTTCAAATTAATGAAAAGCCATTGTAGTCGGCTCTCTTTTATCTACATGTTTTATGCTCATGGATACAATCAAACTTGGGTAAAAATTATTCAGAAAAAAAATAAAAGCAAAACATGGAATCATGTGTCTATATCCAGTACTCAGGAGCCTGAGGCAGGAGGACCATGAGTTCAAGGCTGATCTGAGTCACATGGTGAGGACCTATTTCAGAACAAACAAACGTGCACAAAGAATGCATCTGTACTGAGCTTGTATAGAATTTGCTCTTTTGTAAATCCCTAAGTAATGCAGCATAACAGTTTACACTATATGTTATGTATTATAAATAATCTGTAGGTGATTGGAAACATATGGAAGGTGTATATAAATTATATGCAATACCAAATTTTATGTGAGTAATTTGAACATCTGCAGATTTTGGTATCCATGGCAGGTGAGGAAGGAGTAATGGGCCCATCTCCTACAGATAGTGAGAGACCATTTGTATAGCACCCCTTCGCTGCATCTCCGTAAGAGTCACTAGGTCATGCTTGCATCCTACAACATCGGTTTATACATACTGCCCATGAATCACTTAGTCACAATGTACCTTTGTACTTCAAAAGCGTCCTAATTTGTGAATTGCACATAAAGTCAACCAACTTATTTAAGACACTAAGGGCAAGTTCATCCTGGACCCATACAAGGTAACATATGCACTAATAAAGATGGGTAAGCAAGATTCCTAGTCAAGGGACTTTAGCCAAAAAGTTCATGATTTTGAAACCCGAATTCATCTCCTTTGGTCAGATACCGAGCTCATCTTTGGGTAAAATATACAACAACCTTGTATACTTAGCTGGACAAAAATACTCTTAATCTATAGAAGTTTCCATTAAAAGTAAAATCTGTTATGTGGCTATGATGGTCCACATCCCAACAGATGACCCATGGGAAATAGGATGATTCCAAGAGGACTTATAAATGAAGGATGCTTAGTACCACCCAAGGTGTTATCACAGTAGGTCAACAGAAGGGAAGAAAGGCATCCTGCCTAACTAACCTCTGAGAGCAGGGGCACAGGTCAGGTCTCCTTCCTCTCTCAACTAAACTCTCAATCTCAGTTCATAAAAATATCACCCTGCATCTCAAGTACAAACTGTACGAAGCAAGCATCTTCCAGTCACACATAAGACCTCCCAGGTCTGTCTTTCAGCCTACACCAAAGTCCATGAAAGGAAAGAACACATTTCTTTCTTCTATAACAACATCCTCTTAACACTAGTGGTTTTGAACAATTCAGTTTCCCAAATAATAATAAAACCATGAAAATTCATACATAGGACATTTCCTAAAGGTGTAGACTGGGTTACAATAATTCACCCCCCCATACTCCTATACATCTTCCCTACTCAAGTAAACATAGCAGAATGACAATTAGTGGAACAAGATTATTTTACAGATAATCTTGAATCTGCTCTGGTGTTTTAATGTACATTTTACAACAACTTTGTATTCTATTACTGTTAGCTCATGCCTAGCAACATATCGCACAACTATTCTTCATATGAGCACAAGAACATAATGTGCTGATGAGGAGGAAGAATTCTCGGAGTGGGCAGAAGGTGTTAAAGAAAAATTGCTACCTTTAGCACTGCAAACACAGGTATAGGCAGGCTCTAGAAGAGGCTCAACCCCCAGCATGCAGGTACTGGATGTCAGGAATGGTCCTTTACATAGTCTCAGAAAAAAAAAGTGGTTACATGCTTTATACTCTAGCTAGAGAAACCCTTAATTTTATAGATGACTAACTTGGAATAAATTGTCTTCCCTATAATGCTAAAAAAACATTGACCAAGGTAGCACTGGAACCCAGAACTAAATTAAAAACATTCAAGGAGAAATCACATCACAAAAAAATTATTTTCTTACCTGAGAAATAATTGATTCATTTTTATTCATTGAGAGCAAATGTTTCCTGATTGTCACCTTGCACCAGGTAATGTCACTAAGTAATGGGGATATACAGTAAACGTGCTCTTAGTGAGGACACTATTCTACATAGGTCATAGAAGGGTTTTGAGCAGGGAGGTAAAGCAGAGGTGGTGTCCTGGAGATGAAGAACCAAAGCAATTGTGACTGGCAAGTTCCATGTGAGAAGACCACTGTGACCAAACCAGAGGGAAGCAAGGAGAGGGTGACTGGGGGTAAGATCAAAGGTCAGGGAGGGAAGTCAGATCGTGTCAGGTTCTGACTCTCCCCAGATGAAACAAGAAGTCACCGATGCTTTCCATCAGCCGAGAGCCATCATTATGCAGTCTTTAAGTCTCACTGGCTGGTCCATGAAGAAGAGAGCAGTAGAGCGAGTGAGGGGGGAGGAAGGATGACGCTATTAGCACAACGCAGGGGATAGGCTGGTGATTTAACTAGGATGATGGGCATGAGCTTTGAAGACTGGTCGGATTCCTGAGCATTATTGTGAAAGTAGCTCTGACAGATGTGAGAACTTAGATACGAGCTGTGAGAAAAACGAGGGAGAGAGAAGTAAGGCCTGAGTATCTAACCTCGGGTAACTGCAGATGCTTACCAAGACAGAGGAGAAAGAGAAAAGAGCGGTTTGGGGAGGAAGGTCAAGTGTGCACTGAGTACGCTCAGCAGAGCTGCCTATGCAAATCCTGCACACACTGGAACCTCAAAAGAGAAACTGGGAGGAGTCTGTACAAAGGAGATATTTCAAGACGTGGGACAAGACAAGAGGATCAACAAAGGAGAGGCCCAGGCCTGAGCTCAAGACCAAATACCACACGGTACTGTCCTTCACAAGCATTCTATTGGCCCTTGAACTTGAACTTTCTGAATAGAAAACCACAAGAATAGTGCTTCTGATTCTTCTTCAACAACAGATGGATGATGTGCTGCTAGTGCGTCAATAAGCCTGCCTACTTCTTTAGGGTCTGTTTACTGCCCTTTAGTAAGCAGGGAGTTTTCAAAAGAAGCCAGGCCAACAGAAAGAACCATGAAAGAGCCAAAGATATACCTGTCCCAGACCCGGGGATGCCAAGGATACAGGGAGTTGGGATGAGGAGTATTGCTGCTAATGGATGCGCACTAGAAAAGAGGTGTGACACCTCGTGGGCCCATTCTAGGCATCACTTTAAAAGCCACTCTCAAACAGAATGGGCCATGATAGAAGCAGACGGAGAACTAATCATAATTAAGCAAGCATTGATGAAAGCACACTCTTTTCTTTTTCAATGAGAGAGTCTGAACATGACCTCAGGTACCAGTGATGGTGTCTTAAATGCTGTGACAGATGGTGGCTAGCTGTGAAAAGGAGGGAGGGCTGAAGATTCACGGCATCATAAGGGTTGACTCATTTTTGTGGCCAAGGACAGGGTAAGGACAACAGGTCCTGAAAGGCATCTGAGGCAGGAGCTGGGCTGGTTATTTAACTTCTTGGAGCCCTGTCTTTCCTCAACTGTGAAATGGAAGTGATGTAAATACCCACCTTTCTAAGGGAAATTTTTTCAGAAATAGCTGGTGAGGAATTATTTTTCAAGTAAAAATAGTACCATTCATTGAGTCTTAGACAGTTAAAAATAGGTAAACTCCCATTGTGATGAACTCAAGGAAGTTGCCAATTATTTTAATGAAGTAAAATGGTACTAAAATTAACACATAGCTAAAAACCACATTTTAAAATGAAAGAGCCGGGGAAGAATGCAAGCTAACATCCAGCTTGTGCTTAATGAGTCTGCAAGTAAAAGGAATGAAGCCCCGCGAAAGAAAATGAAGGTCATGCGTCCCTACATGCACACATCCCCCTCTTCCTCTCACCAGACGTCGTAGGACGTTTGCTAACGGTGTTTAGCTTTGGTTTTGGTTGTGTTCTGTTTATTCAAATTAGGTAGTCGAAATATGAGATGACGTGCACTTGCGTGGGAAATCTTCTGGTCGAAGAATAAGAGTTACTGAAGGATGTGGGACCTCAACCCTAAGAATGCTGAGAATGGGAGACATGGTCTTCCCCAGGGAAGAGCCGGCCCTAATTGGTAACCACATACCAAGGGATCAGCCCTGAAACATACACACAGGTAACATTATAAAGACAGAGATGATTGTATTTATATATTAAGGTAGGGGTTGTGCATGTGTGTGTGAGAGAGAGTAAGAGAAAGAAACACAACTCTTAAACAATTAAAGAAAAAGAGGCTGTGAATTTGAGAGACAGCCTAGAGAAAGGTGCATGGAAAGAATTGGGGGAGAAAATGATGTAAATATATTATAATTTCAAATTTTAATTATTTCATAACTTACTGAAGAAAACTATATATAATGGAAAAACAAACCTACCAGAAAAACTCTTGGCCATAATTCTGAAAGCACACAATTCATCCTATTGTTAGAATGACTGATAGATGGGGAGTAACTGTATCAGCTTATTATCACATACGATGAATTGAAACCTGACTGAAATTGTCTCTCTCGCAGGGTATTTATTGCACATTATGCAGTTGCTATGGTCACTGTCAGTGATCATTCTGACATGCAAGAAAGATCTGTCTATATCCCAGGTCTTCAAATGTCCAGCTGTGTCACCTTAGGCGACTTATTTTGCCTTTCTGATTGTTGCTGCTGTTCTGTTTTTCAATGTTTTGTTTGTCTGTCTGTTGCGTCCTCCAGAAAATGAAGCTCTCCCGCCTGTCAGGGTTCTGAGGTCTGGGTGTGGTGCGTGTAAGTGTGCATCCTTGAATATGTTCTTCAAGGGGACGATCATTATTAGCCTTTGCCTTTCATGAAATAAATTATCCAAGGCGCAGATTCAATTTTAACTGTCTAGAAACCTTTCTTGTCATGGTATTTACCATTATTGAATTCCAATGGTAAAGACAAGCATCCTACTTAGTGTCATAAGTCCCCTCGACCTAGCCCAGGGTCATCAGTGGAATCTCGATTGGGGAACTGCTCAGATCGCATTAGTCTGTGGCCATGTCTGTGAGGAATTATTTCAAGTGTTGATCGACAGGGCTGTGCCCAGCTGTGTCCAGCCCACTGTTGATGGTCAGCATCCTGGAGAAGGTAGCCTCTTGCTGTATAAGAAAGCTATCCGAGAATGAAGAAGAAAGGGAGGCAGAACTCAGTGATCCTCTATGGGGAGTGTTACAGTTTCTGCTTGAGATCCTTCCCTGCCTCCCCTTGGGACTTTGACCTGAAAGAATAAGCTGGAATAAATCCTTTCCTCCCCTAAGCTACTTTTGGTCTCGCTCCAAACAGTTCAGACAATGGATACTCACCTCATATAGGATAGTATTGAAGCACCCCAAGACATATTTGATAACAGTTTTTTATGTTTGACTTGAGCCAAACATAACTGGAGACTGGGTTTTTTTGTTGGGTCACTGGGAACTACACAAAACACAAGGGATGAAAACAGACTAGCTAAAAGTTTTCCAAACGACCCTCAGGTTGGACAGTGTCTTATGTCCTTCCAGAAACCAGTCTGTGCTGCTTGCAGACTCGTTCATTTATTTGCTCTCTCGTTTGTTCGCACGGTATTCTGGGACTTTGACATTATTCTAGGTGGGAGAGATGCTAAGAGGAGACAGGCCAGCAGGTGCTGAAGTTTGCTGTCTGGTTTAGCAGGTAGGTAACGGATGAACGTGGACCAGGAGCATGACTCAAGTCGGGAACATGTCTTGCACCTTCTAAGTACAAAGTTGGATATTGCAATGTATGCCTGTTCTACTAGGAGGCGGGGACAGGAGGATGGCTGGGACTTGCCAGGTAGCCAGTTTAACCACTCGAGCCAGACAAGCAAGCTCCAAATTCAACAGGCGATCCTCTCTCAAAAAATAAGGTGGACAGCTAATGAGGAAGATACTCTATGTCAACCTCTGGCCTCTGCACACATGTGTACACATGTACACACACACCACCACCACCACCACTACCACGACCACCACCAAAAAGGGGAGAAAGGAAAATAGAGACATGAATAAAAATTAATAGGCTTTTTTTAAAGAAATAGTGTAATAGAGCAAGATTTCATTACTATCTTTATATTTCTTTATCTTCTTTTCATACTTGGTGCAGAAAATAATTTTCTGCAGGACACAGCGAGGTGAGGAGAGGCAACGGATCACGCAGGAGGAGAGGTGACAACGGCATGTCCAGCCTCTCCAGGTCCCTCTTAGGTTTCCTGAGTGATGACAGTAAATCAACACATTTAGAGTCCCTGCAGCTCTCTCCGGTGTCTCGCTGGGAAGCTCTGGGAAGTATTGACACTGTCATAATAAAAAGAGAAAAGAAGACTCATGAGACCTTGTCTCAAAAAGAATTGGAAAAGTTAGCTTAATGACAGAGTTACACTAATTTGCTCTCAGTATCCTGAGGGGGAAATCAGGCCCTTCTGGCCTGTTCCTTTTATAGGTGGCAGCAAGAAAAGATTGCTGGCTAAGGGGAAATTTGTGCAGGGATTTTTTTTAAAAAGATTCACATGTTCTAATATATGTAGCCAACGTGTGAAATTATTTTTTCTCAATGTTTAGGGAAAAAATCATTATGTTGGAGAATCCAGTCACAACTTTGTTATAAGTTCTGTATGACTGGGACTTTTAGATATAGCCCATAAAAACACAGGCTATCCAGCTAAATTTGAATTTCAGGTTAGCATCAAATAAAACCTTAGTGGATGTCCCAGGCGATATTTGTTAACTATATTTTGTTGCCTTATCCGGACCTGATACCAGGAAAGATGATAACCCCCTTCTAGCTGGCAAAGAGCACATTCCTATTTGACATTTTTACTCCTTGTTCCCAAAGAAGGCTTTCACTATTGATCACTTTCATTGATCCAGTCCGGCAGTTTTCAAACACACACACACACACAGACAAAGAACAGCTCTTAAGAGAACAAATTCTGATGTTGAATCTTAATATTGAATCCCGATTTTTTTTCTCTCTTTCTCATAAAATAGCAGAATCTGTTTGGATGAAAAAGATTAAAGCAGCTGGGAGTAGAAGGAAACTAACCACTGACTTCCTACCGCCTTTGTCCCAGAATAAAGGGATTCTACACAACAAGCGTGAAACGTTAATGTTTTGGACATCCCCACCAAGTCTTGCCTAAGTAAAAAAGTCCACATAATCCTTCCCTTCATCACGTCAGACTTTCTCCTCACTGTAGACATTATCGTCCAACTCCCATTAAAGATATGCTGGAACTGTACATGGTGGAACACGTCTTTAATCCCAGCACTTAGAGGCAGAGGCAGAGGCAGGAGGATTATATGTAAGTTTGATGACAGCCCAATCTACATAGCAAGTTCCAGGCCAGTCAAGGCTATATAGTGAGACCCTGTTTCAAAACAAAAAATGCAATTCTACTTCAATTAAAAACATTAAATTTTTAAAAAGAAAGACTGAAATCTGCTGATTCAAATCCCTTTTAACAAAAAGGAATACAATTTCCCATCAAAAATTCAACACCATTCTTCAAGGACTATAATTATTTTAAAGTGTTTATATATAAACACAAAAGATGCCAGGTAACCAAAGCAGTTCTAAGCAAAGAATACTGCTGGAGATATCACTACACCTGACTTTGAGCTACTCTGCAGAGCCGTGGTAATAAAAGCAGCAAGGCATTGACACGTGTTAACCAATGGACGAGACTAGAGGGCAAGGTATAAGCCCATATAACTACAACTCCCTGGCTTTTAACAAAATTCCAAAAGTGCACATTGGAGAAAAGACAGCACCCTCAGCAAGTGGTGCTAGAGAAAATATCTTCATGTAGAAGAGGAACCAGAATTGTATACCTTACCTGAACAAAAGTCAAATCCACATGCATCAAACACCTGAATGTAAGATCTGAAACTCTGAAATTACAGGGGGAAGAAAAAGCAGAGAAAGCACCACACTGCATGGGCACACATAAGGATTTTCCAGATAGAACTCAAGTTGCTCTGAAGAAAGGTCAACTGTTGACAAACAGAACCTTAGGAAATTTAAAAGGCTTCATACCACAAAGTAAACTGTTAAGTGGGTAAAGAAACAGCCTATAGAATAGGAGAAAACCTTTGTCATCTGACAGAGGATCAATAACCAGAATAAACACATACACAAAAAAAGAACCTAAACAACAAGAAAACAACCCAATCAAAAATTGAGCTAAGGAGTCAAATGGAATTCTCAAAAGAAGAAATGTGTGGCCAAATTTGAAGTGCTCAACATCTTTATCTATCAGAGAAATGCTTATTAAAACTACCTTGAGATCACAATGGCTTTCAGCTAGAAACCAAATGGCAATAAATACTGGCCAGGGAGTGGAGTAGGGGAAGCTTTACTCACTGTAGGTAGGCTGTAGACTGGTGTAGCCACTGTGGGTCTTAGGGTGAAGGCTTCTTAAAAACTAAGACTTGAATGATCACATAACCAGCTATACTGCCTCTGGGCAGAGACCCAAAGGACTCTGTATCCTGCTACAGAGATGCTTAATCACCTCTCTTCATCGTCACCCTTCACAATAGTCAGGGACCAGAATCAGCCTACATATCCATCAACTAATAAAAGGGTAATGAAATGTGGTACAAATACACAGTGGAATTTTATTTCACTCTAAAGGAAAAAAATTAAGCTATAAAATTTTCAGGAAAATGGATGGACCTGGAAGATACTATATTGAGCTAGATAACCTAGGCTCAGAAATTGTCTCTGCATCTTTTGCACCACATTTTTCTCTCATTCTAGCTCCAGGTTTTAAGAGATGGGTACATTGATGTGGGAATGGGTGTGTGTAGGGTCTAGGGAACGACAGAGGGGCCGTCAGAGAGGGGAAAGAGGCTTTGAGAGGCAGCGTTGAATGCAGGAGATATGGAAGTGCAAGACAAAGGCTGAGTGGAAACATTAAGAAGGGCAAAGTGGACAGAGAGGAGAGACCATGTGACTGGGAGGGTAAACTATCTATGGGAAAGGTTTGGAAAGCTGACACCTGAGTTCATTATGAGAAGGAGGGCTGAGAAGGTGTATAAATGTTATACAGTGTTATACATTATAATTATAATAAATTTATAAATTTATAAATAAATTATAACGCTGTATAAATGAATAAACATACTCTACTCCCTGTGGGTAGAGCACATGCTGTGCAAACATAGGAACCTGGAAAGTACCTGGATTTGGATTCCGAGCACCCATGTCAAAGCCTGGCCTGGTGGTGCATGCCTGCAACTTGCAGCACTACAGTCAAAGATCGAGAAAAGTGGATCTTGGGAGTTTACTGGGCAACCAGTCTAGCTAAAATAGGAAGACCTTGTCCCAGAAAAAAATAATAGTGGCAGAAGAAGCTACCTGAAGTCTATTTCTGGCTTCCATTTGTGCACTGACAGGCTAATGTACCCAAGCACACATGTGCGCATGTATGAGTGTGTGCATGCACATGAGTGCATGTGATTGGGTGCTCACACATGCGTGTGTGTGCACACACAAGATTTTGGATGTAAATACACTGTATAAATGAATAAACATACTCTCAGAAACCATGTTATTAAATAAAAATCTAGTGTCAGGCATGGACTTTCTCCCTACATTTGTTAGTCAGGAAAGCCCCTGGCACTCCCAAATCAATACTAGAAATTGGCATTGCTCTTGATTGTCCAGCAGAACAAAAAGTTAGGACCTCATTGTGGAAGACACCACTCTGTAGGGTATACAGAAATCAAGCTGGAACTGGGTTAGTGGCTATTCTTTGCAGGATAGCCTCCCATTGCCAAAAGGCATCATGGAGGGAGAGTTGTCTTCCACGTTCTTATCCAACTGTGGACTCAGTGTACAGCACTGCTAACAAGCTAAACAAGATGTTCCCGCTGGTGCAATGATAGCAAGTACGCAACAAGGGTACACAAACTCTGATTAGATTTGAGGTCCACTCCATAGGGGGCAATCTTCATCTGGGAGTGTGAAAGTTGTCAAATACCTATGACTGGGGATGTCATGGACCCTGGTGGGAGAGATAAAGTTGCTGTTATTTTGCTAAGTAGATATGATGTATCCATCAAACTGTTGTCTAAATAACTACATTGGTACCCATAGATTACTGTAGCTATCAGCTTTGATCAGTGAAGCTTCCTTTTGCATTGGGGAACGGCAGCTGTAGAGACTCATAAGTGGTCAATTGATGGGAGCAGGTGACAGTCAAATGCTCAGCCATGAACTGGACATCTCTATTACCCACTCCAAGGTTCAAGGAAGAGAGGAAGAGAAAGAAAGAACGTAAGAACCAAAGGAAGGAGCAGAGGGCAGGGCAGGGCAGGACATAGAACTGTGGCAGCTGAAAATGACACCACAGTTACACTCTTGCACTGTGCTCATCTCACAATATTGGGCATTTCCAACATCCTGACATATAGCAGGAGGATGTATGTGCAGTTAGTGGGAGCTGAGAGGAGAGACAGCTTCTCCAGTAGTGTGGCCATGGATAAGGTTCCCATGCTACTGTGAATGACTTACCCGGTATTCCTGTAAGTAGCCCTAAGTTAAATATCAGGGTCATATAAAAATAAAATAAATAACTGTTCAAATTTTTATGTTTTGTTGTTTGGATTTTTTTAGAGAGAGGAAAGGGAGAAAGAAACATAAAGTTAGGGAGGGGAGGTAGAGAACAGCTGGGAAGAACTGGAAAAGGGAAAAGAATATAATCAAAATATAATGTATGAAAATATTTTAAAGAAAAAATACACACAAAGGAATAAAAGAACTCCGAAGACTCAAGGGAGGAGAAAGATAGCTGACAGAAGGGGGAAGGAGGGAGAAGACATCGGGGAGGGAGGGAGAGGAAAGAGGGCATCAGACAGCAAAAAATGATCAAAGACTAGTGTGTATCTGAAAATGTAATGAAACCTGTTAGTCATTAGTAACACACAAGAATAAAATCACAAAAGAGGCCAAGTTAAAGGAGTGACCATTTGCAGGGAAGGGGAGACAACAGGATAAAGGGGAAATCAATATTATCAAAGTATATTTTATACATGTATGAAAATATCACAATAAACTCCACTATCCTGTATAGTTTATATGTGCTAAAAATAGTTTGTTATTATTACATAGGGCATAAACATGTTTCAAGTACGTATTCCATTTTTACCATAACAAATCTGTCACCATAGCAGGCTAATTGTTGGTTTATCTCTGTATCTCTGTGACATCAGAAAAGCAGCAAAAGCAGATTAAGTCACCCCCAACAGCCCGCCTAAGCCAGCACACCAACCCACAGATGGGAATTAACTTCCAGGTGCTTTAGCTAAACTCCCCAGGACTGTCCAGATGTTTACTATCACGCCGACATTGTAAACATGCTTTCCACTTCAGTCCTTCCTCTCTAGGGTTCAGGAGATGGTCTCACCACAGACAACAGTTCACAAGTGATGGTGGACATCTCCTGAAGCCATGTTTCCATTTAGTATGTATGGAGTGTCCTTGAACATATTTTACAAGTTGATTTAAATCCTTGTCACTCTTGTTCTTCATAGGCTATTTCTTAGCATGCTCCCCTCTAGTTTCTATCTGTAAATAGTCATCAATCCTCATTTTATACAAACTCGTTCTCCATTAAAGGCCTTTGCTTTCAGAAGAGCCATTATGAACTCATTCCCAGAATATGAAGGGCAGCCTCTACCAGATTGAAAAGCCAACTTCAAGAACAGTGTAGGGACAGGCTAGCTTTCAGTTGTAAGTTAGTGCCTGTCAAGTTTTCTCTTTAAAAGTTATTTCTAGGACAAGAGAGATAAAATAGTAAAATGCCTGCCTTTAAAAAAAGTAGAACAATACTGAAAGTAATATAAGACTTAGTCTACAATTGTAACTACAGAGTCATAGAAACAAAAAAATGCATGCTACTGACAAAAAAGCAGGTGAAAGGCCAATGGATTAGAACAGGGGACCAAAATAAATCTCACAGCTACAGCTACCTGCTCACCAATAAAGGTGGCAAAGGCATAAATTGGAGAAAAGCCAGACTTGTTGACAAGTGGTAATGAAAAAGTTGGTTAAGTACCTACAGAAGAAACTAGACACATAGCTCTCACCATGCACAAACATCAAGTAAAAGTAGATCCAGACCTTAATGTAAGACCTGAAACTCCTACACCCTATAGACAAGGACATTCTGAAAGGACTCCAAGAGCTCAGTAATTATATGAATTAATAAATGTGATTGAATGAAATTTAAAACTTTCTACTGGCCAAGGAAGCAATCAATCAACAGAGTGGGAGACAAGCT